GTATGCAAGAAGTCATGCTCCCCCTTTGATAGGCTATAAGAGGGGTTTTATTCTACACTATGCATAGAGACACACCCAAGGTGACAAACCACTTTGGACAGAGCTAGGCAGGCCCTAAAAGTCACTGAAAAGGGCCTAAAACAAAGCTTGGAGGTGTGCAAATGAAGGCTATTTAAGGCCAAAATGCTAGTGGAACAAGACAAGGAGGGAGAGGGTGTGATGCCCCTGTTCCGTAATATGCTATGGCTCCAAATCCGGGGTTTATGGTGATTATATGTTGATATGACTTTTTGTATGCCATTATGTGAATATATGCGGCCTTTGTGATTCTACCTGTTCACTCGTAGGAATATTGTTTTTGAATAATCTGCTCTGGAAATAAATTGAGGGCCCTTATATCGGCCACAGAACCGGAATTGAATTTACGCACTGTGGTTGGCCATAATTTTTAGAGCCTACGGTGAAATTTAATTGAAATTGATCTGGTCAATTCAAACTGATTAATTTGATAAATTTAAGTACCCCCATTATTTTAATATATAAATATTTGTTAGTGTGCGCTTGTTTGTATATTAGCACTACACTCCCGCTTCTAACTCTGTATGAACTCAAAAATCTGGGGGATTCAATTGTTGAGAGAGAGAGGGCCGCCTTGGTGAGAGAAGGGGAGGAAATTGTGCAATTTTTGGCTTTAAACATTGGAAATTTTGGGATTTAGGAGCCTCAAGAATTGATGTAGAGCTTAGAAGGTCAAAACCTCTAGGGTAATTCCTTGGATTATAGTTCGTGAATTTATGGTGTGTTCAAGCTAATTTGGTGATCAAGGAGTAAGATTGAAATGAATTGTGTTGGAATTGGTTGAATTGAAGCTTAATATGTGCCATGCTGTAAGAAATTACTGTGAATATTGCATGTTTGAGCACAAATGCTGTGTAATCATTGTAATGTTAAAGGAACTCATGTTTTTGATCACGCATTTAGGTTATCCAAGTTGATGAATGTTGGCTAATTCAATCACAATGCATGTACAATTTGAGAAGATATGGCTTGCAATGATGGATTTGTTATGTTGGTGGTTTGAGTTCTGGCATATTTGGGCCAAGTGCATGTAGATAAATCAAGAAGTTGAGCTTTCCATAATGTTAGTAATCTTGCATTGTACGATGTTGGTATGATTATATTTGAGATTTGAGCCATTGCATCACAGTATGTGCTGGAAAATCGAATTGGGAGTCACAGAACACAGTTCTGGGTTTTAAGAATTTTGAGGTCCGCTCGAGCGGGAACCTGATGCTCGAGCGGTTGGAAATGCGTGCTCCCAGTACTTTTTTTGCAGACTTCATGTCGCTCGATGGGCCCCGGTAATTCACGCTCGAGCGGGGAGCTTATTTTGACAGGACCTTCCGCTCGAGCGCCCTATTTAACGCTCGAGCGTATTTTTGATGCACCACCACTTCTTGCGCGCTTATAGGGTCCCGCCGGCGGGAAGTTCCACGCTCGAGCGGCACACAGTACGCCTGTTTTTCTGATAATTTTGTTCATGCGTTCTGTGTTTTCGATTTCCCGTTCCCTCTTCACTTATAAGCACTCTTTAGCATATGTTAAGGCATTGTAAATGAGTTGATAGATAAGAATAAAGCCTAAAGAGGAATATGTGATTAAGGAACGGATTGAATGGTTAATTGACCTTTGTGTCATGGAAATGTCGTAGGGTCAGCTCCAGGGCAGAATCCAAAAGCCGATCACTGTGAGTATATCGATATTTGAATGCTTGTGGAATGTCCATTGTCCTATTTCCCCTTTTATTACGCTTTAATGAATTGCTATAAATTGGGTTATGTGCTAGTCTGATAGATAAACTAATGGGACAGGTCGTTTAAACTAAAGCAAAGGTGTTGATAAACATAAGGACCAAAAGGTTCGATAAAATAATGAGTGCTCTATAAAATAAGGAAAACGTTATGCATAAACGGACCAAAGGTCGTTCTGATAAAAGAGACGTTGACCAAAGGTCGTTGACGATAGAATGAGTGGGACCGGACAGGCCTTTGAATAATATGCGAGCTTGAGAAATGAATGGACCGAAGTCGTTCTGATAGATAGTGGACCGAAGTCCGTTTTGACATGAAATGAGTGGGCCGAAGGCTCTGACATTGATGACGGTCGATTGATAGAGGCCCAAGTTGACCATGAATGTGGCCGAAGGCCGTTTGTGACGTAATGAATGGCACGAGGAGGTTCGTTTTGATAAAATGAAATGCCGATGGCCCGCGTTTGATGTAAATGAACGGGCCGTGAAGGCCGTTTTGACATGAATGGAAATCCTGAAGGCGCAAAGGCCAGAATGGTTTGGAACTACAGTACTTGATTTGAATCTCGTATAGTTTTATATATCTATTAATGGAAATAATGAATTGGGCCTAAAGGCCGTTGGAACCTTGTTGTTCTACATTTGTTTATGTAATTCTGTATTGATTTGATATTATTCACTGGGCTACTCGCTCATCGGCTCATTCATTGTGTTTGTGGTAGGTGAGGGCCAAGAGAAAGTCCATGACCCAGTCTCAGTGAAGTCTGTATGGAACAACTAAGGTTTTTGAGAGAGTCAGCCCTTGTGTCCTCACGCACGAGAGCCGTCTGTCTTCGCCTTTTTGTTATGTTATTTACATTTTGTCAGTTGGCAAAGTTTTGTTAATTGTCTGCTTTATGTTTTATTTATGGGTTTGACTTAGTTTTGGATGATCCTGTTCTGTACAGTAAGCTATGTCGCTATGTTTCTGTTGTGAGTTATTAACGTGCTTATGTATGGTTTGTTTTGATGTGCCCATGTAAGCAACATGCTCTTGTGACAAAAGTTTTTAAATTTTGCTTCCTTTTGGGCCCTTTACTCTGATGAACTTGAGTTTAAAAGGGGATCTTGTAAAAGTTATTGGTTTTGAGGCCGGAGTAATCTTTAGGATTATCTGCCGTTTACGTCCTTAACACCATGGGCGAGTTTCGTTCTCTCTCATACACATCAATCAATCACTTTTTCTCTCTCATCTCTCCTTCTCAATCTCTTTTTCTCTCACACACATCTACTCAATTACAACAAAATAAATCATCCCAAACTCCCAAACTCCAAAGCTATTTTCAAAATATACAACCACAGAAATTAAAAAAAATACAGATCTCTTTCTTCAATTTTTTTTAGAAAGGTAGTTAAAAATTAATATTTTATTTTTAAAAAAAAATATGTAAAAAATATAAAAGATGATATGAGTCAAAATAAATTAAAAATTAAAAGATAATTTTTAACCATCTTTTCAAAATAATCCTAAGTAAAAAGAAATTTAGTTAAGAAGGCCGAAAACGTACTTAATAGTAAGTTTTTCAAGCTTGGTTGAATAATTTAATGAGTTTAAAATTATATTTAAAATTGACTTTATTTACATAATGAGCTGATCTCGAATAAATTTTTAACGAGTCGAATACAAGTAGAGTTTGAATTTGCTTGATTATTTATAATACATACAAATTTAACGAATCGAGTAACACATTATTCAAATTTAACTTGAAAAACTCAAAGAACTTAAAATTATATTTAAATTTAATTTATTTATATAATGAGTTAATCTTAAAAGAATTTTTAACAATTTGAATACGAATCGAGTTCGAATAGGTCGATTCATTTAACCACCTAATTCAAAGTTACTCTGGTTCCGTTTGTTTTCAGTGGTAGAATGGAAATGATTTATAATGAGGGAATTAATAGTGAGGAGATTGTTAGTGAGGGGATTGATAATAAGGGGATTAAGTAAAATTGTGTTTGTTTTGATGATAGTTGTTAGTGTAGGGATTGTTAAATTATTTTTATATAAAATAAATATAAAATAATAAAAAAAATAAAAAAATACAAAAACATTAAACATTAATATTTTAAAAAAATGCCCAACATCTAAAAAATTAAAAAAAAAATTAAAATAAATAAAAAATTTCTAGAAAAAAATAAAACAAATAAAATAATGATTTTTACTTAACAAAAAATACAAAAAATTAAACATTTATATTCAAAAAAAAATGCCCAACATATAAAAAATAAAAAAAAATAAAAAATTTCTAGTCCGACGGATTATTTTTCTAATACCAAGCTTTGGAGGCCCATCTGAATCCCTTCGGGGAGGGCCATCATAATCCGAAGCTCACTATCAATTCCCTTCCCATTTCTCAAAATAAACACAATGTTAGTGTGAGTCCCACCTCACTGCCAATTTCAATCCCCCTCTAACTCTCCAAACAAACGGGTCCTATAATTATTTGTGTTTGTGTGTAGAGCAAAGAAAACAAGACAAGAAAAACGAAAAACAGGCGTGTTTGGTTTTTACTCTGTTTTTGCCTTCTGTGTTTTTGAAAACAAACAAACCTGAAGGTACCATTTTGTAAGGTTTACTGTCTACAAAAAGCAAAAATAAAAGATTTATGGATTAAAGTGCAACAGTTTGCATATTTTGACTACCCCTAATCTTCTTATTGATTTTGGATAGAGTTGAAAACAATGGGGAAAGACATTTCTGAACTTCACCAAAAAAAAAAAAAAAAAAAACAAAAAAATGCAACAAAAAAAAAAAAAAAAAAAAACAAAAAACCAACAAAAAAATGCAACAAAAAAAAAGAAAAAAAGATTGGGGGATCAAAATGCAACAAAACACATATTTTGGGGGTTTGCATTTGGTCTTTTTGATTTTGTTCAGACTTCCGATAAAATTTGAAAAATACCCATCATCTTTTTATTGATTTTGAACAAAGTTGATGCTAAGGACTAAAGTGTAATAGAGCACACATTTTGGGGACTAAAACAGAAAAAATAAAAAGATTAGGGATTAAAGTGCAACAATTCACATCCTATGAGAATTATTAGTGTAATTAACCCTTTTTGCTATTTTCAAAATAATTTTCCAAACAAGTTTTCGAAAACAAAAACACCTGTTTAAACTAATATTGTTATTGCGTATGATATGCAGATGCAAGCTATCTAACAAACGGGTACTTGGACACTGTAATAGACTGGATTCCGGGAATGAAAGATATTCGTCTAAAGGACTTTCCAACATTTTTACAAACTGCTGACCCAAATAATGAAATATTTAACTTATGCATGGAATCAGCAGAGAGTGCTTCTCAAGCTTCTGCAATTGGTTTGCATACTTTCGATGCATTGGAGCAAGATCTTTTGGATACTCTCTCATCTATGTTTCCCCATGTTTACACCATTGGTCCTTTACAGTTACTTCTAAACCAACAAGTATCACCAGAATTGGAGTCTCTCGGATACAATTTGTGGAAAGAAGAAGCAGAGTGTCTCCAATGGCTTGATTCTAAAGAATGTTTATGTCAATTTTGGGAGTATCGTAGTCATGTCACTACAACACTGGATAGAATTTGCTTGGGGACTTGCCAATAGCAACCACCACTTCCTGTGGGTAATTAGGCCTGATCTGGTGATTGGAGACTTGGCTATTCTACCACCGGAATTCGAGGCAGACACTAATGCTGTGTTTGGTTAGGGGATTTGAGGAAGGATTTGGAAAGAGAAAGGGAAAAGGTGTGTGAAACTAGGTGAAATGTAAGTATATTTTATTCACATTTTACCTAACTTTTCCCTTTCCCTTTCCAAATCCCTCCTCAAATCTCTCCACCAAACACAGCGTAAAGAAAAAGGTTTGATAGCAGGGTGGTGCCCGCAAGAGGAAGTCCTGAACCACCCATCAGTTGGGGCGTTCTTAATAGCTTTATGCAATGTTGTTGTCTCAGGTAATAACAGCGTCAGAATCAGAGGAACAACAATCCTTCACAATTCAGACACAACAAACTTCAGTTAGGAATGGATAAACATCTGGTAGGATTAGATTCGGGAGGACGGCCATTATATAATAAGGGATTTTATATCTATTTAAATTTGGTTTGACCTTAACATTGGGTTTTTATATTTGTCTAAACTCAGTCAAAAAAATAATTATAAATTTCAGACCCACCTATCAGGTTATATGTTAAAAAAAATTAAATTATTCTATAATTAAATTCAAGCACACATTATATTTCTTAAATAAATATATTGATATCATTATAAATTGAAAAGATTTATATTTAAATTAAAAGATTTTTTAAATAAATTCGCTCATATCACTACAAATGTGAGTTTCAATAAAATCAATAAAAATAAAATTTAGATCCCAACAAAAATACACATTTTAATGTATTATAAATAAATAAATAATTAATTAATTTAATAATTGGCCGGGTCGAGCCGAGTTGAAAGTATAAATCCCAAGTTCAACACATTAATATTTCGGATTGAAATTGTTGGCCCAACATAGCCCTCTAGGGTAAAACAACCCTCCCAAATCCTTATAAAAATAGGATTGGATGGGCCAACGGGCCGATGTCCACTCCTACCGTCACCCAAACTTGCAAATTTAACCCCGGCCCAATCTTACCCGAAACAAACCTGAAGGTACCATTTTGTAAGGTTTACTGTCTACAAAAAGCAAAAATAATTATATTAATTGTAAATATATTAATATTATATTATATATGTAATATATAAGAAACTCAATAATATATTATATAGATATTATATATATATATAATATATTTTTTTTAAATTCAACAATTATATAATATACGTAAAAAACATCGTGACTTCTTTGAGGTTGAAAATCTCAATATAACTTTCTTATATTTTTTAAATTTTGTATCACTTAAAATACACATGTCATTTTGTGATTAGTCCAAAATCTAATTTAAATAAATTAAATTAATTTTTATATCCTTTTAATCATTGCCAATATTATTTTATTAAATTTGTGATTTCAAAATGTGTAATGACATTATTACTATTTTAATTTCAATGGTTATGATATAAAATCTATATCTATATTAATACTTCTGTCTATATTATTATATAGGTGAAAATTTTGTTGGGTTAACGTTGCTATCGAAAAAGACCACCCAACTGGATGATGTCATGTGGCGATGGTCATACAAATAAATAGATGTGCATGGTAGTTTTATTCAATTTTTTATATTTGAAAAAGCTTGATAAAGCTACTTTTAAGGTGTTTTTTTTTTCAGAAAACATAGCCAAATCATAAGGGACACATGGCGAGGGTGACCATTGAAAGTGGAGGTGTTTGATAATTTTATCAAGTATATCTATCATCACATAATGGGGTGGCAGTTTCCTAATATATATGAATTAATTTAAAGATATTATTCTATTAATATTTCCAACAAAAGGTTTTCTTACATTTTTGGAGATTGTTGTTGACCATTATCTCCATTTGAACTACCATATAACTACAATATTAGGATTTGGCCTGATAGTTATGGCGCGTGTCAATCACCAATCACACTTGGAGTCCATTTACATATGATCCAATAGCCAGAAAAATGTGACAACAATTGAACTTCCTACAAATTAGCAAATTTAACACATGTAGGAGATTATTTAGCATATTTTTGAGATATTTGGGCATCAAAACTTGGTCATGGGACACATGGCAATCATCTAAAGCAAAAGGTTCCCACTATCAATATCATTCAATAGCTAGAATTTGGAGGCTTTAATAGCTCCTAAAATGAAAGCTTCTCTTTGACCAAGCAAGAACATGTGACAATCATTCAAAACCCTCCTCCACCATCCAAGGGTTGAGATTTGAAGTAGGATTTGGCCAACTCTATCCATGAGGAACAAACTAACAAATTGCGAAGAAGAAGGAGGTTGGGATAGATGTAGGGGTGTTCGCGGATCGGTTTTGTGCGGTTTGCGGTTCGGTTTTGATCCGTCCGCATCTATGCGGTTTGGGAAAAAGTCAACCCGCAACCGCCCGCAGCGCGGTTTGCGGTTTGTGCGGATAGGGTTTGCAAATGTGCGGGCGGTTGCGGGCGGTTTGCGGTTTACACTTTTTTCTTTAAAAATTAATTTTTGAATTTTTTTTTTCCAGCGAATTTAGGCATCAAATTCTTTTTATATATTTGTGATAACAATTTTTTGATGAGTTTACAAATAAAAATTGAATATCAATGCATTAAATGAAACTACCCAAAACAAAGAGACCCTACACTAGCATTTTTGCTATGAAAAAAATGTATATCAATGCATTAAAGGTTGTACTTAATTAGAATTGCCAGTTCAGTAATCAATAATCAAACTATAAGTTCTATCGACCATTAGAAGAAAAATTTTATTAGGAAAAAGTGGATGAATCACCAATGAAAATCATATAAGAAACCAAGTTTAGGACTTGATAATTCTACGGCATTAAGAAAGTTGAGAAATACTTAAAAATAAGGATCCTAGTGTCATAGAGAATATAATGGTGCTCCTGTAAAAGTTACAAAGTTGGTATATAAAAAAAAAAAAAAATAATAATTAAAGTGCGGGCGGTTTTTGCGGTTTGCGGGTTTAAACCGCGACCCGCCCGCAACCCGCAAATTTGTCATATTTCAAACCGCATCCGCCCGCATTATGTTTGCGAAACCGCCCACTTATATGCGGGTTAGGCGGATTGGGCGGTTTGAGCGGTTCGGATAAACCGTTGCCCACCCCTAGATAGATGTCACTCCAGGAGGTTGTCCAGCACCCCATGTTTAGGATTTTATGGAGATTTCTACAAAACTATTGATAACAGGAGGTTGTTCGTGATTTTCAAAAGGCTCCAACATCTATAAATACAAGAAATGAAGATGGAGTAAACCCCAATCAATCAATATTGAACACAACTTAGTACATATCCCAGTGCTATTTATCCTTAGTTTAGCCCTAGTTCAACTTAGGAGTAAACTTGAAAGGCATATTTTCTATAGATTTAGCCTTAGATTCCTAGTTTTTCATGACATTCATGTCAGATTAATTATTTTTGGCTTTCATAGGCATTAATTGTTTTGAGATTTAAATTGTGTTTACATCCATTTTGTAATTCAATTTCATGTTTTCATACTTTTATTTGTTCAATCCAATGAATTAAAAAAGTATATTTTCTGGTGCTTATTTCTCTTTATTTACCTCTGTTTTTGGCATTAAAAACTCCATAGAGATTTAAGTCCTCTTAATTGGGGCAAAACAAGAACTGTACGGGGAGCAAATATTCAGGTAAACCCGTACTCCTTTCTTCCAAGCTCCGGCCAGTCCGATCGACCTGCGAGCATAACGGTGGTGAGCTACCCGGCGGTGTGTGGCCGGAAAACCCCTCCGACGATCAAGTTAGCACACACAAACAGGGATCGACAGAGAGAAGAGAGTTAAGTGTAAGTGTATATCTCACCAAATGTTCATCTGTCTAGGCATGGGGGGCGCAGACTCGCTTATATACCTTCTGTGCCCCAAATCTATTCTCATTAGTCTCTCGACACGTGGTGCTGCTATCCCATCTGTCAGCACAAATCTAGCTGATCATCACCTAACCAAACTTCCAGCCCACACTATCGAGATCTCGGCAACCGGGCTGCATTATCTTGGCTGTCAACGACCGTGTTGCACAACAAGCTAGAGCGCTTCGCTCGTCGAGCTCAACGACGACCGAGCTCGGTTGCATTCCGACATAGCCGAGCTGAAAACTGGTCGAGCTTGTAAACTGAAGACCTTTCCAGCCGGGCTGGAAACGCGAACCATGGGAACAGGACCGACTTCCATTATCTCGGCCAAATTACCCAATTAGCTCGGTTCCCACATAAACAAGCCAAGTAGCTTGGTCCTAGTATGGTCCTGGGCCATTACCGAGCACAACCCTCTCCGGCTAAGCCCAAGCTACCACGGCCCACAACATGTTCGGCCCATAAACTGCCCGGTCATTACCACGGTCCAATCCAACTCATAAATTTCCCTCTCAATTGCCCCTTAATTCCATCCGCGCAAGCGTGACTGGGATTACCTGTTCTGACCGGGGTAACTCTTCCTCGGTCCTCAGTTTGCAAGACAGTGACCGGGCTAGTTGACATGCATGTCTTCAAAACTTGCCCGGTCGACGCCTCGATTTGCCATCCTGTCTCTTCAGTACTGACGCCGCCGTCAATAGGGACACGTGTCGTGCCTGGATTGGCCTTGAGCAGCCAACCATCACGTCCCTTTACATTCAAATTTGGGCGGCCTTTTCACCTCTATAAACATGCCATATCTCACTTCCTTTCAATCTTACTGACTCTCCTCAAGCTATCGACGTTCCAGAGCTCCAGCACCCTTCATTTGTTGCCATTCCTGAGTTCGTGTCCGAAGGAGAAGCTTTTGCCCTTAACTGGTAAGTCCTTCGGGCCCCTTTTTGCTATTTTCACTTGGTATTTCACATTCTAGGGCACAAAATCCGTAGGTTTTAGGATATACCCCTCCAAAAACCCTTACTTGCCCCTATTCTTTTCGCTGTTCTTCAATCCCAGTGATGAACACATGAACACATGAAGATCTGGAGC